CCCCAAAACCCCAAAACCCCAAAACCCCAAAACCCCAAAACCCCGAATTTTATTCATGATATTGAAGGAGATGGTATTTTTCTAGAATTTAATCCACTACGCTGCAATGAGATTATGCTCATAAATTATGAAACCAGTCTTAATCTTGAGTGTTCTGCATCATATTTGATTTAAAGTCTTCATTTTTCTTATCTCCAGTCTTAGCATCTTCTTCCTTCTGTGGAGGTTTCTTATATTTATCATCTGCAAATTCGGGGAATTTTTTAACTTTCCCATGCAATTTTTCATTCCAAACATATGCTTGCTCATCTTCCTTATTGGTAATTATTACTGAATCTAGCTTCTTCAATGTTGTGTATTTTGAGAACATTATTCCAATTATGTAAAGTCTGTAGCCTGGAATCTGCTCAATCGGGTTTCCATGTAAAGTCAAAGAGATTACTTGAGATAGATTAGCCAATTTTTTGACCTCTTTCAATTGGTAAATATAATTTCCATGGAGGTACAGGGTTTTTAACTCTGGGAAATTAAGAATATCACTATGGATCTTAGTCAAGTAATTGAAGCTTAGATCTAGCCATTTCAGTCTTTCTGGATAATTCATAACGATTTCAAGTGTTGGAAATATACCCTCAAGTGATCTAATCTCATTATTGTTCAACAGAAGTGTTCTGCATAATCTCTTGATAGTCTTCTTCTTAGCTCCTTCCTTTTTAGCTTCCTCACCTTGCTTTGCAGTTGCACCAATTTGAGTAAGATCCATATTCCCCATTCTAGGTCCATTCCTGTCATTATTGATTAATGGAATATGGCTTTGCTTCATGACTGAAAAGACTGCTGGAGCATATTGATTTGCTACCTTTTTGGTTTTAAGTTTTTCTCCTTCTCCTTCATTAGCCCCATCGTCTGCCCTCTTGCCATCTTCAACCTTAGCATTCTCTTGTGCAAGAAGCTGTTTATTCAGTTGAGCTGTTTTATTATTTTCTTCTTCTTCGTTATCACTATCTTGAATAGGTTTTCTCTTTCCTGCTCTTGGTTCTTTCTTTTTAAGATCTGTAATATCAGTCATGTCACAGAATGAAAAATCAAGACTCTTGTTTTCCAAAATGATCTCTTGCTTGGGATCAACATGATCCAACTTGAGAGTGCTTTCCATGTAGCCAGTTTCTTCCATGAAATAAAAATTTAAATTAATATTCTATAATTATTTTATCAGTAGGGGTTTTGGGGTTTTGGGGTTTTGGGGTTTTGGGGTTTTGGGGTTTTG